ACCCGAAATTTATTGTTATTTTTAATCGATCCGCCGCCTCGACCCGATTTCCCTTTGCCTCGTTTCTCGCTCAATCCGTGCCTCTCCGTTTCCATGCCCAAATTGTTCCGTACGTGCATTCTCCCCTTTTCGATATTCCCAAATTACGAAACTTTCCATCCTCGACGGTTCAGGAATTTTCCACCAGTTTTCCGGTTTACACGAGCGAACGAGAAAAGTTGCCAGTTACTTTCTCGAAGTAACTTGTTCTCTACAACCTGTACGGATAAAGGTGCGAGTTTTAATATCCGTTTTTTTCAACCGTTTTCCCCGCCTGTTCGTTCAACGATTCAAGTTTAAGGGCGAGTCAAAGGAATAGAATTATATAAATAAATCATATACGATTCCTTCTTCGAATTCTTGAATAATAATTTTTTGGGAAAACGATACGCGAGAAAGAAACGAGAGGAAAGAAAAACATGGATGAAAGAGGGGGACGTTTTCTCCCGCGGTAGCCTAACGAAACGGGCCGCCCTATGCAAACGCGGTGTATAAATATTTAGAGTAGCCGCCACGTAACACGTGTTTCCTCTCATAAGCGTGTCCGTTTGGGAATTTCTTTATTGTTAATGTAACCTTCGCGTATACGTGGCGTGTCGATGGCAAAAGTACACACATTTCCTATACCTTATTCGTTTAGCCGAACTCTACCAAAATCGACGCAATTCACGGATTAACGCGATTCGAATGGGCCAAGATCGGAAACTTTCGTCATATCATCCATTTGGGTCGATTGCCACACACTTGAGTAGACAACCTGTATTGTCACGGTTCGCATAAACCAATTACGAAACGACTGTTAAAGAAACAATGGCATCGTGCAACGGCAGGATCATTGGTAAGCGAGTTTGGCTCTGTGGCCAGTGAAAGCCTCGATATTTCCTCCCAAAAACGGAAGGCGCCACCTAGAAACCCGAGTTGCGTAACTCGTTTTTAACACATTAAAAACTGCGCAATAAATGTTCACGGATAGAATTCGTTATAGGAGCCGGTGATATTAAGCCGAATATCATCAGTTTTAATTTCTCTTATCAACTTTCCTTTCGTACAAAATTCGTTTTCGAAGCAGCAACAACGAGCCCGTAGCCTTTGATCCATCCGTTCGAGCGGAGCGTCTCACGGATATCGCCCGACTAACGAGCCGTGCGCACCGTTTCTAATTAAAACGGTCGAACGATCGTTAATAATCGGCGACGGGACGATGGATACGCGCGAGAGTAATCACGCGGCAAAACCGTAATCCTTCCGTGAAGAGGCGAAGCCTAACCCGGCAAATTCTCTCGAGCCTTTTTCCTCCGCGGCGAGCTTTTCGTTACATTCTAATTTCCGGATGATACGTCGTTTAAGGTCGTTAAGATGGGTGCCGCTCGAGGGACCCCGCTCGGCCTACCGTGCCATTCATCATCACGGCTCCGATTAAACCGCCTCGAGCTCAAGCTCGTTCGTTCGTTAACGCCGCTCTAAAAAAGATTTTACAGTGGATACAGTGGATTCACCCCGGTATCGTTAACTTGGACGAGCTCCGCCGTACGTCCATTGCGATCGTCCATTTCGACGGGCGATCTCTGCACGCAGGATGACAAGGACTCGTCGCGTAACGTATCGTCGTCACGCGTGTGTATATCGGGTTACTCGACTCGCGAACAACTCGATAGGCATGCGGGGAGACTAGATTCAACCTGTGTGCGCTTGGTCTGTTTGCGCTTCGACGCATTGGCCAGACCGCGCGTGTTGCAAACATTCTCCCAATCGAGACTGTTTTACTTTTGAACCGAGTCGAGGCCGAGTTTAGTCTCCTACCTAGTTCTTTGGCTCGGTTATCTATCCATCGTTCGGCAGGAAGATGGAATAATAAGACCGGATATAATAAGGTACGTACGGACGACGAGCGTAGGAATAACTCGTTTCGTTAGACGTGGTCGATCGAGGGATATCGAGGCTCGTGGGATAGGCAAGCACGGATGAGGCTTCTTGCCTTCTATCCTTCTGGCCGCAAGGAACAGGACGAGTCAATAACTATCGAGCGATAAACTGCTGCTGCCTTCTAATCAATGTCCATCCAGCTATTCGTTAGCTGGAAACTACACGATAAAATCGATAGGGCTCTGCATCCGGACAAGAGCAAAGAGCGCCATGTGGGCTATCGGGCACAGCTGTCAGCTCCCTGCGCGGCTATATCGTACGCTTTAAAGCTTCTTTCACAACACCGAACCGATATCCCCCTGTATCGCTCTATTATCGTCGGATACACTGTCCTCGAGACAGAGTGAAATTCCATCCGTGACGATGAATATTCAACGCGAAACTGCCGCGTTAATATCAGACGCCTCGTCTAAATATGATTTACAATGGGGCGCGGAATGGATAGGGTTGGTAACTGGAGCAAATTGTTCGAGCAATTTTACCACCCTTTTTTTTTCGCTATCAACGATGCGGGCTCGTCGAATTGGGTTACCATTCAACTATTATTTGGCAATCGGCCATTGCTTTACGCGATGACTTCGTTTCTCGAGCCAAAGATTTCTTTTTCTCCCTCGCCTTCCTTGTCTATTACGCTAACGTTCGTTCGATATAGAATCAAGAGGAAAAGTATAGTATCGGTTTTAAAATTAGAAATTCGTTGGATTTCGCGTCAAAGGTTTTCCGCGTTACTTCGACGCGATATCGGTTTTTTATCCATCGATGAATTAATTTTTTTTTCTCTACTTTTATTTATTTATAGACGCTTACTCGAACGGCTACACGGCGGATGAAATCGTCGCAACTCGGTGGAATTTCTCCGATATTCCGAGAGAAACGCGTAGTTGGGTTAAGGTCGGCTCGGTAATAGTCTCTCGTGATTCATTCATGCGAATTATCGATCGCGACGGTTAAGCGACGGTTCGCGTGCCGTGATCACTTTTACGTGACTTTTCGCGGCTTGTGCACGGGGCTTTAGGATGGACCGATGCATAATGGGTCGAGTGTTCTCCTTTTCGAGAGTGAGTCACAAGGCCCGGACGATGTCTGCCAAAATATTGTAGTCGTGGTCGAGTGCGCGCGCGCTCCAACTCGCGCGGAGCCTTTAACCAGCCGAGACAATGACGTCATTCACTGGAAAGAGACGATAAGAAGTCCGAAGGCGATGCAGAGGTGGGATATTAAAATCCTGATTCATGCGTCGACCACCCCGCACAAAGAGCGAAAAAATGTGCACGCGCGCGTGTGTGTGTGCAGCTGCCCATTGACAAACAGGTTTTTTCTTTTTTCTTTTTTCTCTTCGCCTAGAATCATTGTTGGGGGGAGGGGGAGGGGAGTTCGAATAAAGGGAAAGCGAGATGAGGGAAAAATTGTGTGTTGACTTTTAATCGTGCCACGATATTCAACAGAGCCACGAGATTCCTCACCGATGTACAATCGTTGGAATGTTGGCCGAGAGGAGCGAGAGCCGGCTAATCTGTTCGACAAACACCCTCCAAAGTGCGAGACGAGCGTGTACAATACACCTCTCGAGACGAAACAATGACTCACGTGAATGAGAAATCAATAACAAGTTTTGACGTTTCGAGAGTTACCGCTCTCGTACAGGGAACTACAACAGCGAATTTCTTAAAAATCTCGTCCGAGTGACAAAGTTCCGCGGAAGGAGGAAATTTAAAAATATATATCCCATCCAGTCCAGGGAACTCCGGACCGTGCACAAGTTCTCGTCTTTCTTTCGCGAATTCGAAGGAAGAAAACGTAGAATCTCCCCGAGAGGTGCGGTGGAACGTTCCTCTTTCTCGAAAACTGTCCTCCCCCCCCCCCCTAGCCCGTCTTTGTCTCAGCCACGTACACCGCCTTCCCAAGGTTTTCTTCCTCCCCGGGTGGACTTTCTCGGAAAGGTCGAACGCGTCCCTTTATGGGCTGTTCATTTGGTCGCGCTGCCACTTCACCAGACCAACCGGCCACCCTTGTTAGGAGAAACTGGCATCAAGGACACTACTGGTCTCTTCTCTCTTCTTCTCTCTCTCTCTCTCTCTCTCTCTCTTTCTCGTCGCCTCTTACTTCGCCCAGTCCCGTTCGAAATTATGTTCTCGGCTTAGAGTTCCCCGATCCGAATGAAGATATTCCTACGCTCGATCGTTTCTTCCTCCTCCGGGTCGCGGAAACAATTGGCCGTGATCTATAAGGGGACGCGTCGTCGACGCTTTTTAACCGCAGGAGTATCGAGCTCCTTAACTGGCTTCCAAGGCTCGTTTAATTCCGAGCAAAAGGGTTACGGAGGTTTCCGAGCCGAGTCGAGTTCGTAGAAATTCGCGACAAATATGGATCTTCAACGGCCGTTCCGTTCGAAAGTTGTTCAATTACCTCGTTGAACTCCTTTCCTCTTACCAATCCCCCCCCCCCCGACCGAATTTATTATTCATAAACTAGCCCCTTTATTGAACTTAATTTTCTTTTCTTTTCTTTCATTCTCTCCAAGCGATCGTTAATTATAATATCGCGAAACGTGGGATAATTAGAGCAATTGCTCTCTCGTTCGAAGGGGGGAACGCTCGTAATCGAATTACGGTGAGATCGTAAGATTTACGCTTTTCAACTCGTGGAGGACTCGTTAAGCGAAAGTGTCGGATGAAGGTTTAAATCCAAAGGCGTTCGCTCGCATCGGCGAAATCACGACCGCCACCGGCTCCTGTCCCTAATTGTCGTCAATTGCTGTCAATTGTAGGGGTTGACCCTCCCTGCGACCAACTGCAATTTGCAGCTAGGTCGCGCGTCATCGCCGCGCAAAATCGTTGTGCACGCGCTGCGCGAGCCTTCTCTCTCTCTCCGAGCTCTCGCATATAATTAACCGTTCGCGTGCGTGCACGCCGTTGTAATACATTTTCATGCCTTTCCTCCGCGCGTGCATCGATTTTTCCTAATGGAAGAATTATCTTATCCGTGAATGTCCTACCAAAAAAAAAAAAAAATTAGAAAAAAGGTTTATTACTCAAAAGGAAAGTTTCTTCTATTTTCATATCATACATGTTTTAGAACACAAGCTTCGCGTTCTAGAATTTTATTATTATATACAGGCATGTTATTAATTATACGAGAAGCGATTCCACGCTTAAATAACACGCTCGTTATAATTATCGTAAATAGTTGGAAGCGAGGAAGTTCAGGGAAGACAACGTCCCGCGAACAGTTTGCTCGCACGAAACGGCACGCCCAAAAGCGTAGCCGGCTCGTTCTTAATAAACCGTGAAACAATCCTAATTACAGCGTTGCTATGGAGCACGAACTCCGCTGGAACATGGGGTGTGGTGACGCATTAAATTAGCATTGCATTTCCGCCGCCGAACCCCCTCGTCCCTTGATTCACACCAGAATAAACTTTCCATCCGTGGAAATATAATTTATACATACATATATATATATATATATCATTCCCTCCTGATAATTATCATCATTCCGTAGCGAAGGATATTTGCATTGGATCGTGTGTCTCCACGTGGATGGTGGTAGGTTTCCACTCCCTGCACAGACTAGAACGCGACCCGCTTAAAACAATGCCACGAAATCGATCATGGCAGGCATGCATCAACGCGTATGCATTATGCATCTCCGGAACCGCCCTAATCGCTTCGACATCGCTGCCCTCGGCGTTCCTTTCCCGCGCAGCATTACTTCGTACTCGCGTTGCATCGCGAGCAAATTGCATCGTGCGCAGTATTCGCTCTGTTTACCATTTTCGAGCGGACCTGCGGTTGAGAAGCGTGAGCCTGGAACATCGAGGAACAACCTCGTGCTGGAGGAAAAAACGTATTAAAAGGGAAGAAAAAAGAAAAAAGAAGAGAAAAGGAGGGTATAACCCGGCTGGTCGAAAGCAACGACGACGACGACGACGACGACGGCGTTCGGTAGGGCGTGTTGCGTGGTGGGGAGGCAGGCAGATGTTTGGTCCATGGCACGAGGGCTCCAGTCCCCCATGGGGTGCCGTGCCATAAACTACCCTCCACCGACCACGATTCTTTCGCGTAGGCAGTAGCAGCCAGTCTCGTTGCGGACGCGAGACTCGAACAATGGCCTCGGGTCGCTTCTGCCCCTTGTGAGCGAGCCTTAAGGGCCACGTGACACGCGAGAAACACGCATTTTCACGCAGACACACGTGCCCCGGGACGCACACAAAGGCTCGCAGAATTCGCCCGAGACTCCTTTGAGTCGTGTCTCGGCCGACTCGGTCTCTTCCACCACGTGGTCGACGCCTCTCGTGTTCGTCGTCGGATCGTACACGAGTACGTACAGCCTCCGTGTGTCGTGAATCGCGAGATATTTTCCACTGGAATCTTCCAAGCCCACCTTTTCGTGAATCATCATCCGCGCGTATGCACTTATACATATACATATATATACGTTCTCGTCTTGCTCGCGCTTTCGATTCAACGAACGAATCAGGAGTTTCGATCATCGTCGCCGACCAGGTTGTATCGACGGTGTGCGCGTGGTGAAGTGAAGGAGATCGCGTTTCTCTCTCTCTCTCTCCCTCTCTCTCTCTTACGTACGATCGGGCCAATTTGGCTGCGCGCAAAACGCGAAGGGGGCTCGGTGTTGTGTGTACAGGGAGCCAACTCCCCGCTGCAATTTTCGAACTGGCCGGAGAGGGATGTCGTTGAAAACGAGCCGCGCTCGAGTGCATTTCGAGAGGACGTTTAACGCTTGAGCGTGGCCTGCGTGCACTGGAGGCATTAGCCGCTCCGTAGAATCGAGGAAATCGACGTGAGACGACGATGCTCGGATCGGGCACCACGCGCCCTCGGATGAGCGCCATTCCTTCTCACTCACTCTCGTAAGTGTGAACACCCTTTGTCGGCTATCTTCTAATAATGTATACACAGATGAATTTATATCCACCGGTTGGGACAATTGACCAGGAGGATGTGGATCATTTTTTCATCTCCAGCCCAGATGGGAAAAATGATCGCGATTAGTTTGATTCCGTGCCGGAAGCGCGAATATCGTTTCCCTCCGTTATTGTTCGGTATTGCTAGAGATAATTAATTGAATAATTAAATCGGGTGATTTGCGCGAGGATTAACGGCGGGAGAGAAACATCTCTCTCCGGAAGTGGACGGAGTCACCGGAGATCTCCAGGTAACAGGCATCATCGAGTTTCACGATGCCGTCACACCAGAAAATACCGCAAAGTCAGATGCAACGCGCCGCGGGACGAGGCGTTTCGAAGCGTTCCACCGGAGATCTCCACTCGATGCGGCGACCGGTTGACGTCGAGTACGCGTGGACACGCGATACAAACGCGGAATTCCGTTTCGATGTCGTGTCCACTGTGCTAGTCACTTCTTCGTTTTTTCGTAATCCAAGGATCATGATCCGAGGATGCGATGTTGCGTTCGTTTACGATCCCCGTAATTCTCTCGTTTCTCTCCGAATCGAAACGAAAACGAAAGTACAACGGGAGATCGATTCGCAGGGAACGAAGATCTTGTTGACTAGATTAGATTAGATTGCGGGCGAGAGATCTTGTGATCGATTCGCTTTTGACCTTGTTTCTCCCTTATTACCCATCGCTGGGACATCGTTTAGAGCGTTTCCTCTCGTCTTCGTTACGAAATTAATTTTCGAATAAAGAAATGCGGCCGTTGCTCGAGAGATATTTGTCGAATTTTATTTCGTCCAGAGAAATAATTCCACGAGAACAACGATTGAACTTCGAGCGAAAACTTGTGCGCGCTACGTCGAGCAAAAAAGAAATGTTCCAAGAGCAATTCCAGCTTATCATCACTTCCACTTTTTAACGAATTAACGTGTTGTTAACTAGTTTCATCACTCCTCTCGCGTTGAAATTCGTCCGTTGAAATAAAACGCAGCAAAGCGTATAAAAGCGTAAAAAAATCTTGAGCAATGCCCGTATTTATTTGCGTCGAAAAAACTAATTTCACAATAAGGAGATTAAACAACAATTAGCCAATAATTTTCAATTAAAAAATGTAATAATCATCGATTCTCGTTAAATCGTTTCGCTCGATCTCAATGCAACGATTATTTTTCTCACGAAGAATATATCTAATTAGTCAATTATACTCCATCAGAATCTCGATTCCAATTAATGTCCAACGAGACACGCTCGTTCAACGAACCTGTCATATATACTTCCTCCATCGTTTACGCAACCGAATCGCGTTCGTTTCTTCCCACTTTACGTGAAGCCTATCGACGTTTTAAGCGCGCGCGTTCGATTATAAATCTGTCATGGGATCGCTTTCTACGAGCCGCGTTTGATCGAAAGCCCATCGCTCGAAGAGGACGTCTTCCATCGAAGTCGTCCGAGTGTTCTTGTTCCAGGGGATCGTGGCGTGGAAAGCACAAGTCGCCATCCAAAACCACTTTCGTATCCCGAGACGTTGTCAAGGTTGGACGAAACCTTGTTCGATGGATTTAATCGTTGACCCTCGCGCGCCCCTCCTCCTCCTCTCTTCGCCGACTTTTCTCCAAAACTGGTTCTCATTAACGAATCCGGTCGAAGACACGGTTCGATCGCTATGTGCTGCTATCCCCCTCGAACGACATGGGAAATTAGAGAAAGGTACGTTACGATTTCTAATCGGATCTAACTGCGAATTAACGTTTCGAGGTTGACCTGGAAAGAAGATATATTGGTGTGGACGAAAGAAACGAAGAAGTTGGGTGGGATATCCGTGTCGAAGTACGTAGCTTGCTGGCAAACGTGGTGTAAGAAAAGTTAGATAGACGGGCGTACCGATTTATTTTCACGTCTATAAACTTAAATTCAAATCATTAGGGGAAACGTTAATACCACTTTACCACGTCCATTAGCAAGATCCAGTTTTTTGCTCGAGTTTGCTCTAGTCTGCCTGGGTGGATGCTAGATCGAGAGAAAGACGGGAGTTATCTTTAACGAGATATCTATTTAAACCGTGTGTTTCGCCAACATAGTTAAGCAAGGTTAATAGCAGAAAGATTAAATTCCATACGTATATATAATATACGTATATATATATATATATATAAATATCTTCTTATAAACGTGACACTAATTGCTTTTGCCTTTGAAATCTTTCTAATTGGTTCAAAGGAAGTATATAACATTAGCGCATTATCCGACATTATCGCTTTTTATTAGGTTGGAGAATTGCGAATTCGTTTCCGGAAAACGGATAAGAGCGTTATCGCATGAGAGGCGAAGCTTGACTTGTTTTCAAACGTTACCGAAATTCTCTCGAGTGGCTTGAGCAAAACACGCGGGTAATGGAGCGCAGTGGTTGGATCATTCATTATCGTTCACAATGTCAAGAGCATCGCGTACGATGTATTATAAAATTTGCGCGGCACGAGAGCATAGTTGTGGAACGAACGCCACGCTACACCGTGCTCGAAACGTCGTCGAACACACAGTTACAATTAACCGATGCTCGCAACAACAAGGAAGCGATTCTTTCGATATAAATTATCGTGCTTACGTGGCACGATAATGATCCAGCTTCCAACGAGAAGCATTGGATTCTCGTTGCTCTTACGTCTATAGACGCTCTCCTCGAGCATCGAACACTCTCTAACGGTAAATTTATTTCTGATTCCTCTGTTCCTTGTCGTGTTGAATGTCCGGTCGGGACGGTAGGGGCTACTCGTTAGAAACGTATCTGATTTCGGTTAATTTTCATTTGGATTTCACTCGAAGAGAAGTTTATGGAAAAAGAAAAGTTTCAAAATATGTAAATGGCGTTAGGAATAATTCCGTATGAGGCGCATCGTGAAAGTGGTAACGCCTCGAGCCGATAGCATATACGATCGGCGGTATCGTTTTGGGTACCCGTCAGGGTACCGTAAATCGTATTTTTTTCTTTCACGCGCCGTGAAAGAAGTCGCTGGTGAAAAATGTGATATCGCAAAAAAAAAAAGAAAGAAGAAGAGGAAAAAAAAAGATGGCATGAGTAATAAGCGATCGTCTTAATGACCACCTCGTTTGAACAGCCTTCTTCGTTCCCTTTTTTTTTTATCTCGCTTTACTTTTTTCCCCTCTTTCTATTTTATTCTCTCCCAACGGGGAGAAGATGAAGATGGCGGTCGTCTCTTCTCTCTCGACGAGCAGAACGGGAAGCAGGAATGCGCTCGCAATTTTTCAGCTGTCAAAACGCGGAACAGGCCTAAATTTTGCTCCTTCCTTCTTTCCACTCTACTCCACTCGTTCGATTAAAATAAGAAGAGGATTTATCAAGCATGGAAGGAATGAGTTTCATCATCATATGCTTCTGTTTAATATATTTAGAAGAATAAAGAATATTCCATGTGCAAAGATTTAATAAATTGTTTAACTCTCAATTTCTCAGAGAAAAAGCAAAGTGAAGTATAAAACAGGGAAGAAACCGCGAAAATCTCAAAGCAAGATCATCAAGATCTTCAGTTTTTTATCGACAAAATCTGACAAAAAACTTTGACTCTCAGTAAAAATGCGGCGAAGAAACAAAAAAAAAAAAAAGAAAAAAACTGGAGCAGCAAACTTTCTCAAACGAGGAACGATTCAGATGCAAATGTCGCAGAAATTATGTCGCGTAATCGGGTTTTCTGGAAAGGTCTTCCTCTCCGTTATCCCCTTCCAATCCTCCTTCGTTCGTTGTCTCTTAAAATCGCGAATGCGAATAACCGAGGGAAAGACCGTCCCTGGCTGCATCGCGAAAACGAGCGGAATGAAGAGGGACAGCCTCGCGAAGCGTGCGAGGAATAACGAATGCTTGAACTCGTGCCAAGATCTTGCACGAGGTAGTGTCGTCGTCGTCGTCGTCGTCGTCGTCATCGTCGTGGGGGAATCCGAAGAAGAGGCATCGTGATCGTTCGATAGATTCCTCCAGAGAAATTATCCGAATTTGGAAGCCGGAGATTATCGAAACAAGAAACGTTCGTTCGTAGAAAGAACGTACGAAGAACATAAATCTTTTCCGTATCTGATCCGTTCCTTCGAACATTTGTCCCGCGCAAGTCTCTACAACCAAGTTTCCTAAAATGATAAATTTGTTACAGGCTCGAGAAGAGTTCGTTGCGTATTATATATCGTCGGATATCGATGGATACGTTATTCGTTTCTTCCACGTTGGAAATTGAACGTGAGTCGATTAACTGACGTTGAATGCAAGGAAGTGTGGGGATTACGAGTTCCGGTCTTTATTATCCACAAGCTAATTACCTCGTTAACGAGCCGAAAGTAATGGGAGACTATGCTCGTAAAAACTTTCCTATGGATGGATTTTTAAAAAAATTCGGAAAGCGACTCTGTTTCGATTTCCTCTCGGATGCAAATCTAACTCTTCTGAAGTCAGAGTGTTTTCTTCTCTGTATCAAAGCATCGTGTGTATACTTACGTATAGGCCGTTGTAAAGCAAAACCCAATTCGTAGCGTGTTAACGCGACGCCGGGGAAGCTTAGCTGTCAGAGTATCAGCTGTTCCCATTCGCTCGATCCGACAGGAGCTCGGACGTACTGGCAGCAATCCAGTGTGACAGAGGGGAACAGAGGTAATCGTACACCACCGGCCCTTGTCATTCGAGTTCCTCCTAATTAAATCATCGCTTCTTCTTACGTTGAATTCGTGAGCAGGGAAGAACCGGATCGATCGCGAATCAAGCAAGGAAGGGGTGAACCGAAGTGCGTTCTCAACGAAGATCAATCTTCTCTCTAGCCGGGGACTGCTTGAATTTCACCGTATCTCCTTCTTCTTACTTGGCGGAACGACGAATTCGTTTCCCTTCCCCCGCTTCCTATATATCACTCGTGCTATTATTGATTTCGTCTGGGCCTAAGGGTTTCGTGTCT